CCAAACCCGGGCGATACTGGATGTCGAATTGATACCCCATTTTTATTGATAGAGCCATTTTTGATGATCATCACCCACCAGCCGCTGTTCCAATAAAAATTTCAAACTACGCTGATCTTTTCTGACCACAGTCTTCCCAACAAGTAGTGACGCCATTTCTGGATGGCGAATATAATGGCCATTAATTCCCTCTCGTAAACTGACTTTTGCCTGATACTTTGTGGAAGAACCTTACTGAAGTATGCGATAGGGTGACTCTCTTGCATCAAGACTGCCCCTAGCCCGTGGCCCGAGGCATCGGTTTCCACCACAAACTGCTTAGAAAAATCAGGTAGAGTAAGGACTTGAACATTGACCATAACTGACTTAAGAGTTTGAAAGGCTGCCTCCGCTTCTTCATTCCATTTGAATCTGTCTTTCTTGAGTAACTCAGAGGCCAAGCTAACTTAGCGTAGCCCGCCACAAACCGCCTGTTGTAGCTTGTAAGCCCCAAGAACCCCCGAAGCTCCCTGATGTTGCTTGGGCTCGGCTAGCTCACCATTGCCTCAATTTTCGACTGATCAGCTGCTACTCCTTTCTCAGAAATCACATGACCAAGGTACTACACTTCCGGTTGCCCAAACAAGCACTTCTTTTTATTAGCAAATAACCGTTGCTCTTGCAACACTTCCAGCACCATGTTCAGGTGTTGCAGGTGTTTATCAACTGATTTACTATAAACCAAAATGTCGTCAAAGGAGACAAGGACAAATTTCCGTAGGTAGGGCCAAAATACCTCATTCATCAGGTATTGAAAAGTTGCAGGGGCATTGGTCAGCCCAAATGGCATGACCAAGAACTCATAGTGCCCCTCGTGAGTATGAAAGACAGTCTTATGGATATCCTCCTGTCTAACTCTGATTTGATGATAGCCAGATTTCAGGCCCAACTTAGAGAACACACGAGCCCCATGTAATTCATCTAACAACTCGTCAAGTGCTAGGATTGGAAAACGGTCACGCACAGTGACCTTATTTAGTGCTCGATAATCGACACAAAACCTCCAGCTACCGTCTTTTTTCTTTACCAACAAGACAGTGCTCGAGAACGGGCTGAGACTTAGCTGTATGATTCCGGCAGCCAGCATTTCCTTAATCAACTTCTCAATTTCGTTCTTCTGAACATAGGGATATCTGTAGGGCTTCACGTTTATCGGAGTTGCCCCGGGTTGCAGGAGAATGGCATGGTCTCGTGCCCTTGGCGGGGGCAGTTCGTTTAGCCATTCAAACACCCTGCGATGGTATTGTAGCAACTCCTTAATTGAGTGGTGCACTACTGCTTCGTTTGCCCTCGACTCCACCTCCATACAACTCAAGTCCAGCAAAATTCCTTGTTCCTCCTCCTTAAAAGTTTTAACCAGAGACTTCAACGACACTTGCGTCTTACCCAAGCTAGGGTCTCCTTGCAATACTACAGTTTCCCCCTTCACCTTAAAGCGCATAGTTAAGGTGCCCTAATTCACTTGCATCCGGCCCAAAGTTTCTAGTCACTTCATTCCCAGAATAACATCTGTATAGCCCAATTTTAAGGGTAGGAAGTCCTCAAGCACATCAACATGAGGTAGTGAAACCACTACCCCCTGACAAATACCGCCTCCTTTCACCGGCAACCCCGTTCCCATGAGAACCCTGTAGCTTGCCGACTCCATAACTCGTAGCCCCAGTCTGGACTAGCTCACTCGAGATGAAATTATGCGTAGCTCCACAGTCAATAAGGACTACCACTGCATGTCTTGAAATCTGCCCTCCCAACTTCATGGTTTTAGGCGCAGTCAACCCAACCACAGATTTGATGGACAACTCCACCGTATCCCCCACATGATTTTCAGCCTCCTCCTCGAGTTCCTCCAGCGGTTCCTCCACCTCTTCCCCTTGCACTAACAATACTTGTAATTCCCGATTTTTGCAGTGGTGACTCGGAAAGAACTGCTCTTCGTAGCGGTAGCATAGACCCCTCTCCTTCTTCAACTGAAGCTCGGCGTCGGTTAGTCGCTTGAAACTCGGCGCTGCTTTGGTGTTTAGCGCCGATCGTTGGGTCGCGACTATCGGAGCTCTGGGAACTGTAATCGGGGCCTGCTGGTTGCTTTGGAGGGTTGGAGTCGTTCCTTTTGGATACGGACTGGCATAATTTGGGCTGCTCCCAAATAAATTGGTATAAGATGGGCTGCGTTGGAGGGCCTAGATCTAATTGGGCCTACCGACGCTTGGGCTCGTTTTAGGGACTCATTCTGGTCCTCGACCCGTTGGGCCATCTCCATAATTTGGCCCAATCCCTGTGGCCTTAGCATCCTCACTTCAGCTCTAATCACTGGACTCAACCCATTTAGGAAGTTTTCTTCCAATACCGACTCTGGGATCGCCTGCAAAGGAGTAGCTAACAACTCAAACCAACGGCGGTAGTCTCTCACAGACCCATCTTGTTTGAGAGCCAGAAATTTTTCCGACACGCTACCCTCTTGAGATGGCCTGAACCTCTCTAGTAGCAGTAATTTCAGATCATCCCAATGAATTAAAAGCTGTCGCCCATTTTCCCACTGATACCACGCAAGAGCCTCGCCCTCGAAACAAACTGCAATTGCCTCGATTTTCTCCCAATCAGAAAATTGGTTGATGTTAAAATACCTTTCTGCTCTGAAAATCCAAGCATCGGGCTCCTCCATTGAATACCGGCATCTCCAACTGACAGGTTCTATTTTCCAACCGCCCCATATCCTCTCGACGCAACTGTCCTTGAGTTCCTTCGCCGAACTCCTGTATTTTGATTGGTGCCTCCGAATCCATGGTTGGATCCGGTGAGTTGGATGAGTTCCCCTTTTCCTTCCTGTTCCTCTCTTGTTCTCCCCACTTTGTCATCACAAAGTCGAGCTTCTCCATTATCATTGCCATATCCCGCTGCATTTCTGACTTCAGTAGCTCCACTCCTTCCTGTAACCCATCCAACCTTGATTCCAGTTGTCCCACACGATCCGTAATTGTCATGGTCCCAGAAATGACGCTCTGATACCAAATTGATAGAGTCCCACCTGCTTAGATGGAAATAACACTCAAAATATAGTAAAATGAATGGTTTATTTATGAAATCAGATGAATTGAAACAGAAAAGATACAAGTTCAGGGCTATTTGAGAGGCCCTGTCTCTCCTCCCTACTCTCAACAGAAAACCAGATTTTCCCTGCCCTTCCCGTCTATTGTCTCACCGTTTTTATTTACGTTTCCTACCACAGAATATTACATTTTTACCCCTCTCTAACAAACTCAACTGACTTGGCCGAATCTGTAGTATCATTGCTCTTCTTTCTTCTAGCATATGTGAACCGGACTGGTGGCCTATCAGCCTTGCCGCCACTAATTTATGATAATTATGTGTGTTAGGCCTTTAATGAGTGTGGCCTGCACAAGAATGTGTGTTGAAGACATAATATAAGTAAAGCTAAGCGTTAGAGAGGGATAAACTCATTTAAAATAGGTCTTCAACATAATAAACGTTCTTAACGAACTAAATTAATTTTCACTGTCCAATTGCATACTGATGGCATTCTCATTTTCTACTGTCACATAATGGTTTGTATTCTTTGGTGGACTATGAGAATCATTTTAGTGAAAGCTTTAAAAAACACACTGTTCTCTCCTGTTAGGATATACCTCTAGAAGAGCAAGCAGGGCATATAACCAAGTTCAGCAGGAAGTAATGCTTGCCTGACTAATATTTTGCGGTTTTATGTTGAGAAAACCATTGATTTTGTCATGTCTTAATCCCTGCTTCATCCACACACTGTAAAAATATTATGTTAATAATTTGTGATCTAGTTGTTAACTAAATTTCTTATACTGCATAAATTGCCTATTTTCATTTTCATTTTTATTTTTGCTGCAAACTAGGTCCCAAATGCATCACCAACGGCAGCTTCTGCAAGTTCTGACATGTATGGAGCAGCAGTTTTAGATGCGTGCAAACAAATAAAAGCACGAATGTCACCTGTTGCATCAAAACATAATTTTGGTTCATTTGCCGAGGTATGTTTATCGCTGCTTTAGTTGCAGTATCTACTTCAGGAGCTAATATTCCCTACTAAAATTCTGCTTCTTCTGCTTCAGATCTTTCATTTGTTTTTGGTAAGCTTAAAAGGTTAATAAGTGACTTTTAAAATAAATAATTTTCCTTAAAAGTAAGGAAAACATTAGTTATCCAAACACGTTTGGAAATAAAACTTAAAAAGTAATTTTGACTAATTTGAGATTAGCCAAAGTTGTTCCTTAGTTGATACCTTGTTATCTGCACATCATGTGCTGACGTTTCGTTACACAAATATTTTGCAGTTTGAAATTATTTATCTCAATTCATTCTATCCAACCTTAAGAATGTTTACATGTATCAAGCTATTGATTATGATTGTAATGTGAGTGATCTGTTTTCAATTTTCAGCTTGCAAATGCATGCTACATGGAGCGAATAGACCTATCGGCACATGGATTTTTTATTACACCTGATATTGGCTTTGATTGGGGAACTGGAAATGGGAAACCATTCAGGTACTTCACTATTGGGGCTGCATTTTCTGAAGTCGAAATTGACACACTTACTGGAGACTTTCACACAAGGCGATCAGATGTGATTATGGATCTTGGATTTTCTATCAATCCGGCAATTGATGTCGGACAGGTTGCTTTACTTCTCCTTTTACTTTTATTAGACCGATATATTATTTTATGGAATTTCTAGATTCTGTTATTGGGGAAATTGCAAAATTGGTCCCTAACCTATTCCCCGACTAGCAAATTGGTTCTGAACCTTCTATTATAGATGCAAATTCAGTCCTCGGCGACTATCGTTAGTTGATGGGATTTTATTGGTGTTGGACTACCTCATCTACTCAAGCTCAAGCTATTGGAAAAGGCGTAAAAACATTTATTTAGATTAGGTTTTCAACGTGCTCCTTCACGTATATACTATAATCGATCTTTCTTAAAAGGCTTGACAAGTGCACAATTTTCATAAATAGGTGACAATGAAACTTGAACTCGAAAACTCTTCCTCTTCTTATACCATGTTGAATCACCACTTCTAAAAGCTTTTTAAGCTATAAGAATGTGAAATAGCTTGTTTATATAATTTTGTATTCAACTGTGTGCTACCATGAACCTAGTTTGTTTAGTACTTCAATGATTAGACTAGATGATGACTTATTATCTTTTCATGTTGGAATTGTCATTTCAATAACGGCATATAGAAATATTGAAGTTATCCTTAAAGAGAGAAAATAAAAAAGAAGAAAAAACTGAGTTTCGAGTATTCCTCATTTCTTGTGAAAGGCTCTTTCCTCTGTTTATTCCATTATTTAATGCAGATTGAAGGAGCATTTGTACAAGGTCTTGGATGGGTCACTTTGGAAGAGCTAAAATGGGGTGATGCTGCTCACAAATGGATACCGTCTGGTTGCTTGTACACTTGTGGGCCCGGTAGTTATAAAATTCCTTCAGTTAATGACGTGCCCTTTAAATTCAATGTCTCTCTCCTGAAGGTAAACATCCTGCCACCTTTTCCCTCATTCCTTGGTAGACTTTCTTTTGGCTAAGCTCAAATTTAAGTAACTTTTTGTTTCTAAACACATTTGGATAGATTTTTTCTTACTTTATCTGAAAAATAGTTACTTATTTGAAAGAAACTCTTACCTTGCTCTCGAATTATTAACTTATTTTCAATTTTGACCAATAAAAAATAATTTCGTGAGTGAATGTTTATTAGAGCTTAACTAAACATGCTCTTGGAAGTTTGCTTCTATGGTTATATCAATTGTGTTTCTCCCGAAAAATGATGAATATGCGAAAATTTTTCTATTTGGTAAAATAGGAAAAATCATGTTGTATCCGTGACATAAAACATTTCACTTTGATGAATTAAATTATTAAAATTTCCTCTTTCAGAAACTCTCAGACTTGTGAAGTTGATGATTGAAAACAAGCTATATGATATACATATTAACATTTGAGTGAAATTTGTTTTTGTATATCAACATTTTTTTGGCCATAGAAGATGGGAAAAGTAGATGCGTACACATTATAATCAAGTTTAACAAATTTCATTAAAGTAATTATTTTGTGAAGAATAATCTCAAAATTATGGTCTAGAAAAACAAAACTTGAGTTAGTATTAGCATGTCTTTCTATGTCTTTTTATGGATTTTTTCCCGACTGATCTGATGTATTTTGATTTAAATTTTGAGTAGTCCATCTTTTGAGGAAAACCGAAAAAAAAGCCAAAGGTTCCATTTGTATGATAAAAACCCTTATCCAGGACCTAGTCCTTAATCTGATTCTTGTTTATGTCCCTGATAAGCGTGCCATCTCAGATCCTTCTCCTTGTATAAGTGAAAAATGAAAGAGAAGTATAAATTCTATGATCTAATATTAGCTCTGATTATATGTCGTTAGCTTTGGAAGAACTGTGCATGTATCCCAAAAGTTCCCAATCTCTTTTCCACGATGAATATTTACTTAATATAAATATACCTAGTGCTTGTTTGGTAGGGATTTTGAGAATTGATTTTTTTATCTTTAGAGATAAAGTGGGTTCTACCTGTGAGAAAATAATTAAAAAACGACGACTGGAATAGTGAAATAATGATAAAAAAATTGATTTTAATTGGCTTAAAAGCTCCATCAAACTAGCACCTAGTGTTCGTAAGGAAACATGATTATTTCAAATGATGTCATGATAACGAATGATTTTCCATCTTTAATTGGCTTATTATGGGGAAATCAAAGAAAAAAAGACATATTTGCTTCTTGTCCGAATTAATGCTGTGTCATGAATTTTTGCACACCCCCACCCTTTCTTTTGGAAAAATAGAGGCCTGGCTGGCATATAGCTCGGGCTGGCCAAGGGCCTCTAGAACTGGGCATGGACTGTCCAAGTGGGGCCAAAATGTGGGTTGGGATATTGGTGATTCTGTTGTTTATCCCTGCCCCTGCTTGGTTTGGATAAAAATTATATTTTTAGTAAATTTTGATGAAAGTTGATGGAATGTGCGATTGAAAAGTTGTGTGTCCCATGAAATGTATGGTTATAATTAATTGTTGATTTTGACTTTAATCTTAATCCATTTTTAAGCTGAACCAAATAAGGGCTTAATATTTTGTGCTTTGAGAGGTTTGCTGAGAGACTGAATCATGCCTTTCTTGGCTATGTTGACAGGGTGCTCCGAATGATAAGGCCATCCACTCATCAAAAGCAGTAGGAGAGCCTCCATTTTTTCTCGCTTCATCTGTTTTCTTCGCCATAAAAGATGCCATTATTGCTGCACGGGCTGAAGTAGGTTGTACTGATTGGTTTCCTCTCGATAATCCTGCAACACCTGAGCGTATACGAATGGCGTGTACAGATGAATTTATCAAAGCTTTCGTGAACTCTGATTTCCGTCCAAAGCTTAGCGTTTGATTGTAGTGCCGCGAAACTCTTACCATTTGATTAGAAAAATGATTCTTTGTATATATCTCCTGTGAATTAGACCATACTCAATCTGTAACAAATGGAAATATGTACTACAGTTCGTACGTATGGCTGTGAATTTATAAGAAAATTGCGATTATAAGAAGGCTCAGTTTTTGTGCCCATTATGTTAAGTAAATTATTTTACAAAATTTTATTAAAACATTGCTGGAAGTATGAAGCCCGGACTAGGCAATTTCTTTTCACGTTTTGGTCTTTGCTGAAATTATATTGCCAATGTATCTGCTATATCAAAATCATGTGACTTGATGGAGTCTGCTAAAATATTAGAAACTAGGCCATCAACCGCTTCTCGAAATTGAGGTCCCACTTTGATTTGGTGATTCTTGAAATGGTTGATGATTCCTTGCTTAATGGAAATGTCATCTCGTTTGCCCTTGCTTGGTGTCTCCTTCCCTTCCATCTTCCACTCCGGAACAAGAAGTTCCGCCAAATGTTCCATCTCATTTTGGGCCATCTCAAATCTACTATTTGTTGAGAATTAGAAATCATAATTCTATATCGCCAAGAGCAATAAAATAGCAGGAAGAAAATAGACACACAAGAGTTATGAAAATTAAGTTCTTATTTATTGCTACACTAATTCACTATGAGAGAAATTGGTACATGCTATTTTCTGTGATGTCGATTGCTACCTATTAGATATTCAATAAACACTGATCAATAGAACAATCCGGTTGAAGATATCCTATTCCTAGACATTTCGTTATGAATTTAGTTTGCTCTTCAATATATTCAGCCAAACAACTAAGTAAATTAAACATTCAAAATTGCAATAAAAATCCATCTTTCAGAGCATACCTGGACAAATCAAGCTATTGGCATCTTTACATAGTCAATAGATCAGTAAAACATCCCAAAGCTAGGGTTAAAAAAACAACGTCGACAAAATAGAGTAAACAAACATAGACAAATTGCCAATGTGTTGTTGAATACGATAGAAACTGAATCTAATGCTGTAAAGACCGCATACAAGTTAATAAAATATGTAACCTATTAAGTGTTACAATAAAGAAAGGAGCAAAAATAAAGCAATAAGACATTCAAATTTACTTGACATTATATGCTGCATTACAATCCTCAAATTGATCATCACTCAAGATTTTGATGTTACGTAGAAGCAGATAAGCTAATTTAGAGAAATCTTATAGAGCATAAGTCAATTTGTGGTGGATTGCGTGGGGATTGGATTGTATTGGGGAGTAGGGGTAGTTGGGGAAATTTTTTTTTTTTTTCTTCCTTAATTTTGTCAATTGTATTGTTTTAGTTGTGAACTATTTGTAATATTTGAAAAGATTTGGGACTCCTACTGCAATTTTTCCTTCATTTTTTTGTTTAGTTGTTTTCTTCTTTTTATTTTTTATTTTTAATTTAAAGAGGAGGGCAAATTCGTTATTTTATGTGGATATAATGACAAATATGGATGGAAGGATGCAATTTACCATTCAAAGAGTGGGATATCCGATATTTAAAAAAGGCTGTGAGTAGATTAGCAATAGATTGCAAAGGAAAAATACTAATTTCCTTTTATTGATCAAAACTTTAATGCACAAATATTTCACAAAGGGGTGACTAGTAACTTTGCGTGCTTCAATATCTTGTTGGACCAACTCGTCAAAATGGGTTCCAAATTTATATAGAACTGGTGATATTATCGTTAAGAAGTATGAAGCCGAGATTCTGCAATATCTTTACACGTTTGATCTTCAATGAAAGTATGTTGCATGTTAACTGTTTTCTAAAAGTCAATATGCGATTTCAGCTCATGAGAAAGGAATTCAGTGCAACAAAAAATTTTCAAAATTCAACTTAACTTCACGATCAATATTAACAACATGAGAATTATTGTATCGAAACTTAAAATCGAGAAAGTTTGTGGGAATGAATACTCTGAATGATACTATGACAATATTTGGAATTTGAGCTCCCTTAAACAAAGACTGAGCATCGTAAACGACATTAGTAATGGAGAAAAAATGTCACACTTGATAGATATATTGTCATTTGAGTAAACAATTAGGGTATTAAGCCTCAGCATTGATAATAGTAATAACAGTTCCATATTAATTTCCGGCCCAAAAGAAATCCATGTTTTCTTATTAAAAAATGCAATACAAACCAAAGCTTTAAAGAGGTACAAATGGCACGGATCTTCTTTAAGATCCAGCTTATTCACAAAATAAACTTGGTAAAATCAAAAAATGCATAATCACACTTGTACCAAATCTTCTGTTGAATTATAATTTAATTATTGTCAGCACAATCGTAGTTGATGCAAGAGGCAGCTGTGGAATTATTAGTAATGTGGAGGTGGAGGTGAATTGTAGTAGTATTTTGGCATAGCAGATGGAGATGGTGGTGACTTATGATAGTGTAGTGGATGCTCCTTGTGCTTTGGTGGAGGTGGGGATTTGTAATAGTAATGAATTCAATGCTCCTTGTGCTTTGGCGGAGGTGGGGATTTGTAATAGTAATGGGGTGGTGGTGACTTACTTGGGGGAGGCATAGATATGTAATAATAGGGAGGTGGTGGAGAAGGGAACGGAGGAGGTGGGGATTTATATATATAAGGTGGTGGTGGAGATGGAGATGGAGATGGAGATGGAGGAGGTGGTGACTTGTAAAGATACGGAGGTGGTGGGGATGGAGATAGTGGAGGTGGGGACTTGTAAACGTATGGAGGTGGCGGCGATGGAGATGGTGGAGGTGGGGACTTGTAAACATATGGAGGTGGCGGCGATGGAGATGGTGGAGGTGGGGACTTGTAAACATATGGAGGTGGCGGAGAGGGAGATGGTGGTGGCGGGGACTTGTAAATGTAGGGAGGTGGTGGAGATGGAGATGGGGGAGGTGGGGACTTGTAAACATATGGAGGCGGTGGCAATGGAGATGGGGGAGGTGGGGACTTGTAAACATAGGGAGGCGGTGGCGATGGCGATGGTGGAGGTGGGGACTTGTAAACATATGGAGGTGGTGGAGAAGGAGATGGTGGTGGTGGTGGTGGTGGTGGGGAGTTGTAAATGTAGGGAGGTAGTGGTGGCGGGGACTTGTAAATGTAGGGAGATGGTGGCGATGGAGATGGGGGAGGTGGGGACTTGTAAACATATGGAGGCGGTGGCGATGGAGATGGAGGGGGTGGGGACTTGTAAACATATGGAGGTGGTGGAGATGGAGATGGTGGTGGTGGGGACTCGTAAGCATACGAAGGTGGTAAGGATGGAGATGGAGAAGGTGGGGACTTATAAATGTAGGGAGGTGGTGGCGATGGAGAAGGTGGATGTGGGGACTTGTAAACATTTGGAGGAGGTGGCGATGGAGATGGGGGAGTTGGGGACTTATAAACATAAGGAGGTGGCGGCGATGGAGACGGTGGTGGTGGAGACTTGTAAACATACGGGGGTGGTGGGGATGAAGACGGTGGTGGTGGGGACTTGTAAACATACGGGGGTGGCGGCGATGGAGATGGAGGAGGTGGGGACTTGTAAACATATGGAGGTGGTGGTGGAGACTTGTAAATGTAGGGAGGTGGAGGCGATGGAGAAGGTGGAGGTGGGGACTTGTAAACATACGAGGGAGGTGGCGATGGAAATGGGGGAGGTGGGGACTTATAAACATAAGGAGGTGGCGGGGATGGAGACGGTGGTGGTGGAGACTTGTAAACATATGGAGGAGGTGGGGATGGAAACGGTGGTGGTGGGGACTTGTAAACATACGAAGGTGGTGGCGATGGAGATGGAGGAGGTGGGGACTTATATATATAGGGAGGTGGTGGCGATGGAGAAGGTGGTGGTGGAGACTTGTAAATGTAGGGAGGTGGGGGCGATGGAGAAGGTGGTGGTGGAGACTTGTAAATGTAGGGAGGTGGTGGCGATAGAGAAGGTGGAGGTGGGGACTTGTAAACATATGGGGGAGGTGGCGATGGAGAAGGTGGAGGTGGGGACTTATAAACATAAGGAGGTGGTGGCGATGGAGAAGGTGGTGGTGGAGACTTGTAAATATACGGAGGTTGTGTTGATGGAGATGCTGGAGGTGGGGACTTATAAACGTATGGAGGTGGTGGCGATAGAGATGGAGGAGGTGGAGGTGGCGGTGGAGAAGGTGGTGGTGGGGACTTGTAAACATAGGGAGGAGGTGGCGATGGAGATGGTGGAGGTGGGGATTTGTAAATATAAGGCGGTGGTGGGGAAGCATAAATATAAGGTTTATCAGCAACTACACTGGTGGCTATCAAGCAAAACACCACCGCGTAGGCAAGGGAGCGCCTTTGGCGCAACCTTCCTGGGGATATCATTTTTTGCAGCCCTAAATAGTCTCAGGAGCACAAAACTTGAGAATAAGTATCTTGGATGATTTGGGGGGACATATAATGACCCTTTATATAGTTCTCTCGTCCAATCATTTTAGATAGTGATACAATTGTTTAATGAAACAAACAGCCTGGCTAACCTGAATAAGTCAACTAATAAAACTTCATGTTTTCCCACTAAGATCTTAATATTTGATCCCAGTAGCCACGAACAAGTCAATTTTCAGTAGTTGGTTATGTATTGTCTGGCTAGAATTACAAGTATAAATAATTTTAATTAAAAAGCGCATTGCCTGGAAATGACTATGAAGTTTCTTCTCCACTAAATAATTAATTTAAAAAATGAAAATGATGACATTAATTAAGAGTCCGTGATTCATTATAATTATGTCAAATTGCTGTTTTTAATATTTAATTATGTGTCCTTGTGGAATTTTTAAAAAATAATTAAGGACATCCAAGCAGTTACTTCTGAAGATATTTTACCTATTTTCTTTTCAGGTTTGCAAATGCTCTCCATTTGGTTCTCTATCAATGATTGCGGTCGACCAAGAGTTTTGAGTGTATCTCTTGTTTATGAGATAGATATAAAATCCTGCTCGAATTCTTGGAACCCGAGAGGAAGAGGAGGTTTGTTAGTCGATTTTGTTCACGTGTAAGTAGATAGAAAATTGGACCAGAAAGTAACATTACTGGTTCCTCGTAAGTTGATTGATCCATCTTTCCATTGTATAAAGCAATACTGATGAGCTTGGATTTAATAAACTCTATAGAAGTCAACTTTGTGAGAAATGAATTTATTTTTATACAATATCTAATGAATTTGAGATCAATGACGTGGCTTGTATTTTGTCGGCCTTCAATCCAATATCTCCACCAATATCACTTGAGGTCAGCTTTGGTGTTTAATTTTTAATTTATTGTTAAGTAACTTGTATTAATTCAATGAAAATAAGACTAAAATTTATTTTATATGCATATATATTCGAAATCTGACTTTTGACATTTTAGGCTTGTGAAGTCATTAAAATATATAGTTGTATCGTTAGTGAAAAATGATAGGCAATTTAGTAAGGAATTGATTGATAAGAATAAGGATTATTTTTTGTCTTCTTTACCAAATTTAGATGTGAACAATCCTCTTGAGCTGGCCATGTAAATACTGAACTAACAAATTAATATATGAAGAAAAGACTCGATTATATGAATATTTAAAATTTCAAAAACTAATAATTCATTAATTCGCAATCGAATGCTACAGAATAATAAACACAATAACATTGCGAAACCCTCGATAAAAATCTAATGCAGTTCAATACAAAGCCGTCAAACAATGAGTTCTAATACTTATTTTAACGGAAAACAACATAGGGGTAACCCTAAACTAAATGTTTACTATATTTGCAAAATAATATCTAATTAAATATATTCACACCACGATTTTTAATAACTAAACTACATTTTAGTTGTATGAAAGGTTCATAAAATTTACATATTATCACATTTATGTTTCAAACTATTTTTTGTCGCATTCTTATTCTCAAATTATCATAAATTGTTCCTGATTATGGTTTCTCACCGAAATTTTCTTTAAGATAGAGTAAAAAGACTCAATACAATTAAATATTTGACCCTCATTTTAATGCCTATTAACAATATTTTTGAACGCAAATCACGATTATGGACAAGATTTCTTGATTAATGAAATGTTAAAAATAAGAATGTGACGAAGAAAAAAGTTAAGAATGTAAGTGTGATAATGAATAAAGATTAATGAACTTTAGTGTCACTACAACCACACTCTCTAAATTACTAGGTAGGAACACTTGCCTTAATAATATTTTGAGATTTTCTTTTATTTTCAATAATAGTTCAAAAGGACGTTGCGATTAAGATAAAACAACACACTGAATGAAAACATGGATCATAGAGTGTTGTATCAAACTCTCATAAAATGGTCTTTAATTTTACTCTAATACGAAATATTCATAATACTAAAGCATTCAAAAAAGAGAGATGCTATAGTATCAGTATTGCACAATTAATTAACCAACTGCTTCTCACGTTTTGTGAATAGCGGGACATTGAGGAATATTCAAAAAAGCATCTTGGAAATCAGTCTAATTCTATCTCTATACCTTCCGTTTTAATTATTAAACCTTATAGGACTCTTCCCTTTATTCTAATTAAAAAAGACTAAATTATTTTGTCACACCAAAATTTCAGATGAATGATAGTCAGAAATATAATATGTATTAAGATGAAAGGAAAAGAGACAAAAATGGCAATAATAAAGAGAATTTCGGAAGTCTGAGGGCATATTTGATGTAGATTTTTTACAAAGTGATGTTTCTGGACGATGTCTCATTAAAAAGTATAAAAATGTTCTTTATTCATTGAAAAAATGTGTGAATAAAAATGAATTCGAAGAAAAATAAATTTTAAAGAATATACACCAAACATGGGATAAATTTCATTTTTTTTTTTTTTTTGAGCTGCGTCTAAGAAAAATCATAACGACAATAATTTGTGTTACAGAATGCTAACTTGACGCAAGTATTACTGAGATAAATATGTAATTTATAATTTCACTTGTACAAATTTTGTTAACTAACTACATTTAAACCTCTATAAATTAATAGTTTGGAACCAAAAAAAGAAAAAAAAAATCTATTAGTTTAACGAATATTAAATAGTTCACTTGGAAAATTTTATTTGACGCGGAGAATTAATTTTTATCGCTATACCCAATGCAAGTTGGTTGTGAATCTTTTAAAAGAACTAATAAATCTTAACTTTTCATTATTATTGCACTGTCAAATTCAAAAACAGTTTAAATCCTCTTGTTCGATGTGCCTTGTTAAGTGACGTAGCGGAAGATTATAGGGAAGATGAACAATCACAAAATGAGAAAACTCTCAAGAAAATTTTTATTGAATTCAAGAACTGTCGTCTCAAAGGGCTTATAACACCTTAAATAGAAAAAAACCTAATAAAATTTGGAAAATAGAATAAAGAAGATTTTTTTCCAAAAATAGAAAAATATGAGATAACTACTAAGATGAAAAATCCTTATTTTCAGGATCATCCTCCAACAAACGGAATACAAATCTGAATTTTATGGAAAGAGATATTGTAAAAACAAAAATTACCATAGATAGCAAAAATGACTAAACGAGAGTCTAAACAATGGATTTTGTCCAAAATTGGCTTTGCGTTAGGGCCGAAGGCGCTGAGTTTTATTCATTGGCTCGATTCCAATCGAATTAGATTAGCAATTCGCCAAAAACGAACAAATCCGAAATTATTATGAAATCAAAAATCATTATTTTGCCTTGCTACGGTCTCATTTCATCATAAACTCTAATCCCTTATTTACTTCATCATTAAGTTTAAAGTAAAACCTAACATCACCTACATGTTCGATGTGCGAGCAGATGATTTAACTTAAGAATTAGAAAGTGATTTTCTGATTTTCCTTAGGCTAGTATTATATATATGAAATCGTACTTTGACTAATTAAAACATAATATGGGGAGGTGATGGCAATGCATAAGGTGGAGGTGGTGATTTGTCTAAAAATATTTCACTATGATGAATTAAATTATTAAAATTCACTCTTTCAGAAACTCTCAGAATTGTGAAGTTGATGATTGAAAACAAGCTATATGATATACATATTAACATTGAGTGAAATTTGTTTGTGTATATCAAAATTTTTGGCCATAGATGATAGGAAAAGTAGATGCGTCCACATTATAATCAAGTTTAACAAATTTCATCGAAGTAATTATTTTGTAAAGAATAACCTCAAAATTATCGGTCGACCGGTCGAGAGAAACAAAACTTGAGTTAGTATTAGCATGTCTTTCTATTATTTTCTTGGATTTTTTACTGACTGATCTAATGTATATTGATTTAAATTTTGAATGGGACATCTTTTGAGGGAAAAAAAAAAAAAAAAAAAAAGAATTCAGCCAAAGGTTCCATTTGTATGATAAAAACCCTTATCCATCCTTAATCTGATGCTTGTTCATGTCCCTGATAAGCGTGCCATCTAAGATCTTTCTCCTTATACAAGTAAAAACGAAAGAGAAGTTGTTTCGCGTGGGTTAGTCGCTAACAATTATAAGGGATCAGACGATTGTGTAAGGGACAAACCTCTTAAGACAAAGTCCCAAAAAGGGGTGTTCTTTTATTGGCGATGACTTTACAATTGGAAATTAAAAACAGAATGCCTCCAAGGGGCGCAAGCACACGAGTTACTGAAAAAAGTGTTTAAGTCTAACCTAAGGAATTTAAAATTACATGTTCTCTGTTCGAGAGTTTTTGATTCCGTCCTTTGCTCTATGTCTTTTCTCCCTTTTATACTTCATGGATGATCTCTTTGTGATCAATCGCCTAGAAACTGCTTGATCGCTTTACAACTGCCCACTTTCCTCGTAATGGCCAACTTATCATGAAACTGCCTTTTTTAACTGCTGCCATTACTCTTCGTCATTCAACCGTTTTCGATTGAATTCCTTGAATCGTGGAACGTGATATGGCTGCTTTAATAACTGCTTTGATAACTGCACTTCTTGATAACCACAACACTTTATGTTTGCTAAGACCTTGGGCGACTTGAAGGTTTGGGCGAGAATAGAGTAATAACTCTGGGCGACTGCATGGCACTCCATTCGCTCAGATTCTGGGCGACTTGCAAACTTGGGCGATGGCGTTACCGCGTTCTTGGGCCTCCCTATTTGGGCCTTCATCTTGAATTGTTTAATTGAGCTTTGTTCTTTGAGCTATCTGATTTGGGGACCCTCCAATTGGGATTCATTCCTTGGGCCGTTCGATTTGGGCTGAATTTTTATGTGTCAACAATTATCCTCCAATATGGCAGAATTAATACCAATTATTAAATTTTGCCATATTCACTTTGTGTTTCCAGCAACATTCGAAATTTCCAAGAATTTCAATCATTGTTTTCTTCTGTAACTTGAAAATGTGTGACGTTTTGCAAACCCTTATAACCCCCAAACACGCCATTTCACTGCACCAAATCA